CTTGCCCAGCCCTAGTATGCAGTATAAGTACTGTATATATTTGTCTATATATATTTAATGCTATCCATTATTTAACATTATTACTGCTTTATTTAATATTATTTTATATTTATTTATGCATGATCTTATTTCATATTATTATTATATATATTTTTTCCTTTATTCCTTTGATTGGGGTTGTGGGAGAGAAATTGGGATGTAAAATGCTTGCTGTGTTGATATGATTGTTATATATTGTGTAAACTGAAAAACTAATGAATATATATTGTAAAAGATGATTTAAGATTTAAGATGATCTGACTGTTCATGTGCTATGATCAGAGCTGTACCTGAGGTTCCTCCAGAAGCTCTTCCTCTAGATCTTTCAGCAGATCCTCAATTCTCTCTTTCTCCTGCTGTGTGAGAAACACTGAGCTTCCTGACGCTCCGGCCAGCTGAACAAACACAAACACACACTTATGCAAATCACGGATAACACAGACAAGCTCATGTTCAGATTTCACATATATGAATAATGTCACATATGCAACATATACACACAATTATCCATTCATTTTCTTTTTGGCTTAGTCCCTTTATTTTTCTGGGGTCGGATAGCCTTTCAGCTGCAACCCATCACTGGGAAACATCCACACATATTCATTCTCACACATACGCTGTGAACAATTTAGCCTACCCAATTCACCAGTACCATGTGTTTGGACTGTGGGAGAAACTGGACCACCCAGAGGAAACCCACGCCAACACACAACATGCAAACTCCACACAGAAACACCAACTGACCCAGCCAAGGCTTGAACCAGCGACCTTCTTGCTGTGAGGAGAACATGCTACCCACTGCAAAACCATGCCACCCAACATACATATATACACACACACACACACACACATATATACATATATATATATATATATATATATATACATAAATGAGTTCCAACCCCTCCTAGATCTCTCTTTTACAGTAATGTTGTCTCCAAAGACAAAACTGATCAACTCATCTGACAACAACACTGCAGACCACAGTACACACACCACTACACACACATTATAATAGGGAAAATGTGACATAAAAATGTAATAAAAATGAACTCAAAACACAAATAGAAATATACAATTTAGCTGAAATTTTGTAGTTTGTAATGGGGTTTTGTTGCAATAACTGCTGTAAACTTTAATTATCTTTCTATTGCTGAACATGTTCGATGACCAAACTCTTATTTTAATAAACATAACTGTTTAACAAAACTGATCTGTTTAATTTAACCAAATATTATTGTGTATATTCACTGAGAAATGGATAAAATATTCATTTTCAGAAGCGGGTGAACTCATTTATACAGAGTGCTGTATACATATTTTTCAATCATTTGACCACTATGTACATATACAGCTGAAGTCTGAATTATTAGTCCCCCCCTCCCCACGTTTATTTTTCCCCCATTTTCTGTTTAACAGAGAGCAGATTTCTTCAACACATTTCTAATCATAACAGTGTTAATAATTCATCTCTAATAACTGATTTATTTTCTCTTTGTCATGATGACAGTAAATAATATTAGACTAGATATTCTTCAAGACACTTCTATACAGCTTAAAGTGACACTTAAAGGCTTCACTAGATTGATTAGGTTAAATATGCAGGTTAGGGTAATTAGGCAAGTTATTGTATAACGATGGTTTGTTCTGGAGACTATCGGGAAAAAAATAGCTTAAAGTGGGCTAATAATATTGTCCCTAATATGGTGTTTACAACAATTAATAACTGCTTTTATTCTTGCCAAAATAAAACAAATAAGACTTTCTCCAGAAGAACAAATATTATCAGACACACTGTGAACATTTCCTGAACCTGTTCAGTATAATTTGGGAAATATTTAAAAAATAAAAATAATTCTGACTTCAACTGTATATAGTGTATATATACACTACCCGTCAAGAGTTTTTTTAATGTTTTTAAGAAAATTATTGTTCATCAAGGCGGCATTGATTTAAATGTAAAAAAAATGGTTAAATTGATCAAATATATATTAAAGATTTAAAATAAATATTTAAATAACTGCTTTTTATTGTATTCAATTTCAAATAAAAGTATTACTCCAGTCTTTTTTTTTTACTATTACCATTAATGATAATTAATATTAGAGTGATTTCCGAAGGATCATGTGACTCTGAAGACTGATGGAGTAATGAAGCTGAAAATTCATCAAAATCACTGGAATAAATAATTAAATTAAATGATAAACTACTTCTGAACAGGTATTTTATAGTGCAATAACATTTCACTGTTTACTTTGTAAACTGTATTTATGATGACTTGTATATATAAAATAATATAATAAAGATTAAAATAAGAAACAGATCTTATAATGGAATACATTAACACCGCATAACAACTTATAATGTAGTATTTTAATAAAATGAGGTCAGTATTTTAGCCTACTTAAGATTTATTTATTTTTTGATTGTCTAATAATTACCCTAAATACCCTAGTGAAGCCTTTAAATGCCACTGTAAGCTGTATAGAAGTGTCTTGAAGAATATCTAGTCTAAGATTATTTACTGTCATCATGGCAAAAAGAAATCAGTTTTTAGAGATGAGTTATTAACACTGTTATGATTAGAAATGTGCTGTTAAAAACTCTTATCAAACATATTTGAAAATAATCTAATATCTGTGTCTTCAGCTGATTATGCTGAAATATGAGGAGATCAAATGTATGGGATAAACATTATTTAGTGGGAAAGTAAACTAAAACTCTTGCTGACATCATCATCTTACACTCAACTGGATGTTTCTCCAATCAGACGCTCCGTTTTAGAGAAGCCCCTCCCCCTGAGAGCAGCTGACTCCGCCTGTCATTATGATGTTCAGGTGACGTGAACTCTGGGTAATTGCATCCGTCTGGTTCAGAAAGTGTGCTTCAGTGCACAGCAGGTGTGAGTGTGTGCGTGAGTGTGTGTGTGTGTGTGTGTGTGTGTGTGTGTGTGTGTGTTCAGTCATATGGCTCTGATCGGCCTGACTGACCTCCACATACCTCAATATTTTTCTTGACAAAGTCGTGTCTGCTCTTGCTGTGTGACGCTCCTGTGTGTCTGCGATCCTCCGTCACCTCCTGACCCACTTCAGCATGGCCCGCGGCCTCCACACACTCTGTGGAAAACACACAGACATGTACACATAATCTCACACACATGCATACACAGACACACAGACAGATATGTACACATACACAAGCATACACAGACGCACACACACACTGTCTAATGAAAGACACACACACACACACACACACACTGTGAGTGAGTGAGTGAGTGTGTGTGTGTGTGTGTGTGTGTGTGTGTGTGTGTGTGTGTGTGTGTGTGTGTGTGTGTGTGTGTGTGTGTGTGTGTGTGTGTGTGAGTGTGTTTGAAAGAAGGAGGGTGTGTGAGAGATTGTGTGTCTGTTTTTGTGAGTGTGTGTATGTGTTGTTTGTGTCTGTGTTTATGTGTGTGTCTTTCTCTGTCACTGCTTCTGATGATGGTTAAGACTTTAAAATGGCATTTACACACACTAGTATGTGTGTGTGTGTGTGTGTGTGTGTGTGTGTGTGTGTGTGTGTGTGTGTGTGTGTGTGTGTGTGTGTGTGTGTGTATCATCATCAGAAGCGGTAGTGGATGAGTGAATGAGCACATGAAGATCATTGTTAACATCAGGGCGCCCTCTAGTGTCACAGCAAACTCAACAGAAGGGATACAGCTGAACACAACATTATTCACCCTCCAGTGAAACTTGTAATCTCTTTCAAACATTTGCCAAGTGCTGTTTAACAGAGCAAGATAATGTTCCACAACATTTTCCCATTTCCTAACATAGTATAATGTGTGCACAGTCATATTGGGCTGATAAAAACACGTCTCTTTTTTTACAATTCCTGCTGTTAAAATAAGATCCAAATCCCGGCCTCAAAAATTTCCCTGTCTTCATCAGCACAGCCGCATGTCAGAACAATTATAAAAGAAGATGCTTTAATCGCACTTTGCAGACGTTAAATCAGGTTTATTCTGTACATTAATATAACGGATGTCCATACAGCAGTGGACATTAAGCTGTATCCTGACACATTTACTGTGTAAAAACAGTGCAAAGTTAAATGCACGAGCTGTGTGTGTTTGTGTGTGTGTGTGTGTGTGTGTGTGTGTGTGTGTGTGTGTGTGTGTGTGTGTGTGCGTGTGTGTAATGCAAGCATGAACTTTATAACAACATTGTGTGTAATTGATATAAAGGCTTGAATTAACTTCACAACTAATACATAAAATAATCATTGGGAAAGTTCTTAGTACTGTAGTTTTCCTTACAGATGTTACGTGAGATCTGCTTCTCTCATGTGTTTCATTGTGCTGTTTATCTGATGTAGCCGCGGCAGAGACTGAGGCACACGCTGACAGACACGTGGGAATGGTCTGAACATTCTGAAAGCTCTAGGGCCCTATCATACAACCGGCGCAGTGTGGCGCAGTAGTCTTTTGGTAGTTTCAGCTTGGCGCATGAGTGGTTTTGAGGCGTTGCGCTACGCTGTTTAAATAGCAAATGCATTAGCAATCATTTGTGTGCTCATAGGCGTTCTGCTCTAAAAAGGAGGCGTTCTGAGGCAGGCCGCTGGCGCGTTGCTATTTTGAGAAACTAAAATAGATTTTTCATTAGACCAAAACAAACCCGGTCTAAACTCCAGCGCAGAGTTGCGCTTCGCTTACACACTGCTTAATACACACAAGAGAGCAATAGGCAAATATCTTTACATATGAAAACATTTAAATATTAAGGATATATATAGGATATAATAAGAATAGATATAGAATATAAATAAAAAGGATTAAAATATTACAAAACACATTATTTTCTAGCCTACATAGATATGAAAAATCACTGCTTTCATGCCTTCTTCATCTCGGGAGGCTTTTTCAGTTCATTCATAACAATTTGCTTTTGTATAATGTTATTATTATTAGCAGTATTATTTATTATATCCATATTTATATTTGTTTTATAAAAAAAAAGCTTAGATTTGCCCACCTGTCAGGTTTTAGACCATATGGGGCACAGCATGTGTTTTAGG